ATGTATAGAAATCATACATATACCAACAAGCTTTTTAAATTTATTTATTTACAGAATTTCCCAGAGGAACCCACCCGAGGGATTAATAAAGTTTCATCTAATCCAATCTAAGACAGTGTACATCACTGTCACAACAGGGTTGTTTTCATTCAAAGGCTTTATGGCTTTAATACCTGGGGGGCCGGTCTCCAGTCAAAAGGCCGTTCTTTTTGTCCCAGTCCAGCCCTGGGCACGACACGCAGCGAGTTAATCTGAGAAGGTGCATTCAAAAATAAATGGCCAGCGGTGCACATCGCAAATCAGCTCGCATAGAAACATTGGTTGTGCCGCTTCTTAATGACGGTATCTTAGCTAACAACCCAACTACCAGATTCAGCTTGTAACTGGCTAAAAGTAACTTAGCCTACCAGTGAGAGGGACGTTGTTAGCTTTCCACATTCTGACACTTCAAAAGCTTCAGCAGCTGTCGGCTCAGCGGAAATACACAGATACAGCCATAGACTGGAGACAGAATTCACAATGCTGTTTCAGGACTTTCAGGTGTTTGGACCAATGTTTTATTTTCTGATCAAACCAGAAATCTTTAATGAGCAGCTGGTTTGTCTCACATTAACTGGTTGGACACAGAGGACATCGAAATGCAGCTGATTGAACTGAAAAGCTCGACTCTGTGGGGTCAAAGTTTGCAGAACTACGAAGCAGCTGGACTCCACAGCTGTGCGTGTTCATGGAGCTGCATGTTCACCTGCTGGACGTCACTACCTGACAGTTTAACTGTCTTCAGAACATTGCAGAGGCCTTATTGACAGTATTTATCACTGTTGTGAGGAGACCATAAATAGCATTTGCATTATCTCTTGTTCAGTTCATTTGCTGTTATGGATAAAAAGTCTTTTGTTTCCAAATAGCTGAAAACTATTCGCTGACAGCTGCCAACATCTGTGAACAAATATAATCCTATAAAGTGGTTCTATATAGTGGGTAACTTTTAATATAGAGCGTTATTACATTTATTGCTAATGCAGTCATATGGCACACTGACCTCTGAGGAAAGTTTAGATGCACTCGTCATCAGAACGGTTGCCGACCCTGCTCTACACAAACATAAATAACTGAGTACTGATTGCTCCGATCAGACGTTACTATAGAAACAGATGATACAGATGTATAAAGAATAGAAACAGGATGACAGAGCAATGCTGCAAAAATCACTCACCTGAGAGGTGAAAGAAAGACTCCAGCTAATGCACTGATCCTGTTCATTTCTAATGTGCGGGCTGCAGAGGCTCTTTAACCTCCTAGGACCTGCGTCCACATATGTGGACATCACATTTTGGGTTATTTAGACCAAAATACTCAATTTTGCTCTACAAGGGCCTGATGTCCACTTACGAGGACATTATACTGCTACTGTTCTATCAAAATTTTAAAATATCCTCATATGTGGCTCTGATTTTTCTTAAAACAAAAATAAAGGTAAAAAAATCTGGTCATTCTTTGTTTTTACATTCATCAGGTCCCAATCAGCCCAAATATCAAAGAGAAATTCAAAATGCTGCTGTGGAAGAGCTCAGGAGGTTAAAGTGCATCCATTCAAACACTAAAGGTTACTTTAGGACTTGTAGTGTTTCACCTGATCACAATTACATTCATTGCTCTGAGTCAATCAGTATGCTTGGTGACAAACAGCCTGCAAGCACACCTGATGTGTGTTGTAACTTGTGCAATTCACTGTATTACTTTTGTAATACAGTGAATTGCAGTGACAGGTTTCTGTAACTGTAAGAGCTGGGCTGTGGTGTAAAGCTCCTTCATGACACTGAACACTGAGTTGAACAAATCTCTTAAACCTGCATTCTTTCTAATGGCCAGCAGGGGGAGACGACTGGCTGCAGAGACGCTGTGAGACAATGATCACTACTTTCATGTTTGAACACAAAATGCTGATCATTCGTTTCATTACAGGAGCAAACCAGTGGGACGAGTCTGAAACAGTCCATATGGAGGCTGTCCAGCCTGCGCCTTCACGTGAACAGTCACAGTAGGAGATATATGCCAGCGCTGTCCTGCTGTGCACATACGTCACAGGACTAAACCCTTATTTTAGGGCAAAGTCAGCACATTTTTTGCTGGATTCGACCGATGATTCTGTGCATACAGCTGTCTGTGCCTTCAGAGACGCCTGCCCTGATTCAACGAGTTCAGTCAGACCTGAGTGCATGTCAGCATGTCCTCTCAACCAAAACCCAGATCAAACTTTCATACAGACAGCCACACACAACAAAACGGCCCTGCAGGGCTTATATTCTGTGTAGCCTTACCTGACCTGTTGCTCGGGCTCCATGAAGTACTCAAAGACGTTATTCATGACAACAACATCTGCATTTTGCAGCAGAACATCCTGCGTGCAGACGTCAGCCTGGAGGACCTGTAGAGAGAGGAAACCATCTGTGGCTGAGCGTCTTCTAGGCGACCATCACGACCCGAACACACAAACCTGAACTCTGTCAGTCAGCTTGTATTTGTGCAGCATGGAGTCCTGCAGCCTGACGAAACCCTCGCTGATCTCCAGGCCGAGCAGCCGGGACGCTGAGCTGTACACGTACCCCTGAATACACACACACACACACACAGGTGAAAAAGAAAGACTTCCAAGCAGCAACATTTGTTAAATTAAACTGAATGATTTACTTTTTTAAAAGTTTGTCACAAAAGTGCATTCAGACCAAACGTCTGAGCGTCTGCTCGTGTTCCTGGAAAATCCTCCTGCAAGTCTGTACAGCTCCACTTATTAGGAAGAAGGACAGTCGTTCTAATGTCCTCTACAGTGACAAAAACACGACAGCAAGTGTGTGTGTGTGTGTGTTGACCTCTGACCCCATACAGCACGGCCCCCAGTCTGGATCCTACATCCACCAGTGTCCGGCCACTCAGATCTGGAAGAACGTGCTGGAACAGGAACCGAAGCTCGGTCACGGAGAACGAGTGAGAGATGAAGTCTGCCAAAGGAGACGATGACAGCAAACGGTTTCATTCAGCTGCCTGCACCATCACCTCGTGCATCCACTGACGTGCTGACAGTGGAGCAGCTTACTGGCTTAAGCCCGGGTCATCTTTGCAGAAGCCCGGGGTCTTTTGGAGTGTCATTTGTTTCATAGTTAGATGCCTGACTGACAACTGTATAAAACAAAAACTACACACAATATTCGAAGCACATAGCGCACAGTCGTAAATTCCCCCTAATTTTGGTACGATCCGAGCTCAGGCACTCGGCGACTGAGCGCAGCATGTGAGCGAGGGGGGAGGAGCTGCTGTAGGAGAAGCGCAGCCAGGCAGACAGAGGAGAGCTGAAGTTTGAGCAGGTACCAAAGCAAATCATTCGTACTGTACAAATAATGTAAATATGACGGTGCATCACCAAAGATATCAGACTGATCACTTGACCCATTATTACGTTACTTGCTCTTGGAGTGAAATGAGAGTCTCAGCTCACATGTGTGTTTATTTCATATTTTCAGTTGTTTCCCTCCACGGCTAAACAAACTCTCTAAACCAGTTTCAGTTGTGTACTGATGAACACAACAATGCTATAAAGCTGTCCAGAGATAGGGCAACCTTGTCTAATCCCTCTCCGAACCGGCACAGGACAACTCAACCCTCCCACCTTCACAACACAGCAAGCATCGCTATACAACAGCTTCACCCAAGTCAGAAACCCCCTTCCTTCTTTTTTTCTTTTTTTTTCTTCTTAAGAACTGGAGACCAGCGGCCCTTTTATGTGCAGACTATAAGATTCTTTCCCAGGTTTTATCAAATCTTACTGATCAATCTTACTGTATTCCAGATATGTCTGTGATTGATAACTTGTTTTTGATGAGAGATGTGTTTGATATTTGTGAAGTGTACAATGCTAAAGGCATCGTTTCTATTGATCAGGAGAAGGCTTTTGACCGTGTGGACCATGATTTTCTTTTTTCCACCTTGAAGACCTTTGGTGTTGGGTA